TCCGGAAGACAAGCAAGGTCAGGCTAAGGCTCTTCAAAAAGAGGGCATGACAGTTGCCAAACAACAATTGACAACCACCAAACATGTCTTAGAAGCTTCGTCTCGCACTATGACGTCGGCAGTTGCGCTCAGACGCCATTCGTGGCTCCAGAGCACTGCCCTTCCGATCGACACCAGGTCACAAGTAGAAGACATGCCCTTTGATGGACTCGGTCTATTCCATGCCAACACCGATTCCTCCCTCCAGGAGCTCGATAAGAGTATTAAAGCTTCCAGGGCGCTGGGAGTGTCATCTTCAACTAGACAACCACAACGTTCTTGTACATGGCCACGACCATGGCAGCGGCGCTCAGTCGCACCAATCTCCAGAGCCCAGGTGGCGACCTAGAACTTATTCTGGATCCCAGAAGCAGAGCTACCAGAAGCCTAGGTTTAACACGACTCAGCAACCGCCTCGTGCCAAGCAGACCAAACAGGCCTCCAAGCAGGGCTTTTGACTTCCCTATCCCCAAGTCAGCACCCAATTTTACTTTAACCCGCCTTTATCCGTTTCTCCGTACATGGCGTGCAATAACATCGGACCAATGGGTCCTCTCCATCTTGACCAGAGGCTACAGGATTCAGTTCCACCAGAACCCCAACGTGCCAGTCTTCGTCCTCACGCCACCCTCCCAACCCCTGCTCCAGGAGGTGTCCCTCCTTCTGCAGAAGGGAGCCATCGAACGTGTGCCATCACACCTCCAAGGGAAGGGATTCTACTCCTGGTACTTTGCGGTACTGAAACGGGACGGCGGCCTGCGACCCATTCTAGATCTGCGAGACCTCAACCGTTTTGTGTCCTACCACCACTTTCGCATGATCTCACTCCACCAAATCCTACCATTGCTTCGCCAAGGTGTTTGGATGGCTACCCTGGACCTACAGGATGCGTATTTTCATCTTTCAATCCACCCTTTCCACCGTCAATACCTACGGTTTGCAATTGGTCAAGATCATTTCCAGTACGTGGTTCTCCCTTTCGGTCTGTCAAGTGCCCCTCGGGTGTTCACGAAGACCATGGTGGTAGTGGCAGCATTCCTAAAGCTCAAGGGAATTTCGGCGCTTCCTTACATCGACGACTGGCTTATAGTCACATCCTCGGAAGAGACCTTAGAAGCCAACGTTTCGGTCACTTTGTCCCTACTGGCCAACCTAGGTCTACAGGTCAATTACCAAAAATCACACCTTTCTCCAGTCCAGCGCATCCAGTATATAGGAGCGATACTGGACTCCAACGCTTGCATGGCCTATCTTCCGCCAGACAGAGCCGAGGACATAATTTCTCTGGCCGTTCAACTGTGTACACAACCTACCACTACGGCCTACAACATTCAAAGGCTGCTGGGCATCATGGTTGCGACAACTACAGTGTTGGTCTTCGCAAGACTCAAGTTGAGAAGGCTGCAACTTTGGTTCCTCCACTCTTACAAGCCTCACATGAACGCCCATGTTGTCTTGCTTTCCCCTCCTTCCTCAGTCCGGGACACTGTCTGCTGGTGGACTCTGCCATCCAATCTGCTACAAGGTGCTCCCTTTCACACTCCGTCCCCGGAGATCATCCTGACCACCGACACATCTATGACGGGATGGGGCGCCCATTCCATGGGAAGCACATGAGACGACGACACAAGAAGAAATATCAACTTCCTAGAACTTCTTGCTGTCCAAAACGCAGTAACCAGTTTCCTCCCCTCTAATCAGGGGAAAGTACATCAACATCCTTTTTTTTTTTTTTTAAGGTCTAACATCCTGACGGACAACACTATGGCAATTTCGTATATAAACCGTCAAGGGGGAACGGTTTCCAATCGTCTATGCAGCCTCGCGATACATCTGTGGGACTTCTGCAGGGCCAACGACATTTTCCTGGTGGCAACTCACATACCTGGAGAGTTGAATCTGGAGGCGGACCATCTCAGCCGCTCTTCGGAATAAAACAACCCTACCTGCTCCCAATTTTCCAACTGTGGGGCACTCCCCAAGTCGACATCTTCGCCACACGACACAACAAGAAATGTCATCTATCCCCCAGTTAAGTCTTCAGCTGTACCTTGGGACCTGCCTCTGGTCTTGCGTCAACTTACACGGAAGCCGTTCGAACCTTTGGCTACATGCGAGCTGCGTCTCCTAGCATGGAAGACAGCTTTTTTGGTTGCGATCACATCGGCCAGACGGGTGGGAGAGCTCTTAGCCTTTAGGCACGATCCTCCTTACCTTTCTATACAACCTGACGGAATCTGCCTGCTGCCAGACATCTCATTCTTGCCTAAGGTGATTTCGGAATTCCATCTGCAAGCGGAAGTTTTCTTGCCGAATTTCTTTCCAAATCCAGTATCAAATGAGGATCGATTGCTCCATACATTGGATGTCAAGAGGGCTCTCCTGTTTTACTTGCAAAGGACGCAACTGACTAGGAAAGATCCCCATCTATTCCTCTCGTATGCATCGCCACGCCTGGGAACTCGTATTACATCCCAACGCCTGTCCAAATGGATCGTGGAGTTGGTTCGGCTTTGCTACCTCCTGGCAAAACAGCCGTTGCCGGGCCCTATCAGGGCTCATTCCACCAGAGCTCTTGCAATGTCCACGGCCTTTCTCAAGGGAGTGCCGCTACATGACATCTGCAAAGCTGCTACGTGGGCCACGCCTAATACGTTCATCAGGCATTATGCCCTCGACGTTCGAAAAGCCAATGCCAGCATCGGGTGTCATGTTTTGTCTTCAGCCCAGCAATGAACATCCTGCCAGCACCCTCCTCCAGGTAGGATATGGCTCACTAGTCTCCCATTGGTGTGAAGCACAGAGACCACGAAGAAGATAAACAGGTTGCTTACCAGTAACTGGTGATCTTCGAGTGGTCATCTGTGCATTCACACCACCCGCCCTCCTTCCCCTCTGCTATCAGCTCCTACATTTTTTAATAGGTGTTGATTTGCGGCGGTGCTTTGAAGGAACTGGCGGGATGTCCGCGCCCGTCCCCCTGGGCATGCGCAGTAGGGTTCCTGCGCATGCCTGGAGGGGCTCAGTGCGAAAATCCGTTGAAACAGAGCTTGCTACAGCACCGGTTGGGTCAGCGCGTGCGCACTAAACCCATTGGTGTGAATGCACAGATGACCACTCGAAGATCACCAGTTACTGGTAAGCAACCTGTTTTTCTCACTCCTGCTGACAAATTAATATGATGATC